GATTCAAAAAAGTGTCACTGTTCCGCTCGCTTTGGAACGTTTTACGTAATCCACCTGTGATCGTTCGTCCCTCTCTATCATCATGATCATGTCAGAGAGCGACCATACAAATATTAAAAGATAAAATGACCTATGCAGTGTCTTATCCGTTTTCAGAATATGATAAACTTTGGGCGACATGCTCGAAAACGATCTCTCACCACTCTACTGCAATTTTTCTTTTAGAGATTTGAGGAGTCGTATCACGATCGTCTCCAGAATGTCCCATTAAGGTCAGGAATTATCAAGGTTGTGTCAGATTAGCAGAGCGCATGAGCACAATGTTTGCTAAGACCAACTGCAAGTATATTTTAAGTCTTAACAGCACACTACAACAGTTTCACACCATATTTACCTAGAACCTAAAGACGTTATACCAAGGTGTTTAGGTCGACCGTAAATGTACACTTAAGTACTAAATAAAAACAGGATTACCTTTAGGGTACAGGGGATAGTAATACTAAAAAAAGTAAGTGCATAGTTTATCCAACTGCTATGTAGTCTCTAGCCGAAATACAGTTTTTGGAGGCTTAGTAACCAAACTGTCCCGAGGCGTCGGACTAATTGACCTTTAACATTTTCATCCCTTTTCCTTGACCGTTGTAATTACTCTATCGTAATGCACACACCGCTACCTGTTAACCTCCGCCTTGATTACGTGCTTCATTGTCAGGTCGTTGGACATCCTGCATATCAAGTTTTTAGCCTACTGAGCTTTCCTATTGCCTTTCTTACTTGGGGCTCGCTAGATATAGGCTGTTATTTCGTGAAAGCAGCGTAATTAACATCATCAGGGACTTCCGAAGTTCACACCCCTTACCCCTTTTTCCTGCCCTGTTGGATAACATTGGGCATGGTATTTTCTATTCAGGAATTTTTATTCTAATGACGCTCACCTTTCTAGCAGGTGTTCTCGACTATTTTGTCCAGTCTCATTGTGCTTGACTTCAACCAACCACCTGATGTCCTCACTCAGGCTTTTTCATACCGTCACCTTCCCCTTGCCCGAATTCTGGCAACATGCCCCGAAGCTTTATTTCATCCGCATCGAGTCTGCCTTTCATCCGGCTAACATTACCAAGGAGCTGGCGAAATACGCAAACTTGTGGGGGGTTTCCCAAGCCCAGTCCTTGCGTTCTAGTCCCTCCCGCCAATGCTTCCTATTCCACGCTGAAGGCGGAAATCATTCTATTTAATGCCACATCTGACCGACAGCGTTACCAACAGCTAATTACGGAGGAATCACTGGGTGACCGGAGACCCTCAGACCTTCTCTGACGAATGCGTTCTCTGTTTGGATACATAAAGATTTACGGGAAGCTCGTCAAGGAGATGCTCTTAGGGCGTCTGCTAACAGATGTTCAAGCAATTCTGGCGTTTTGTCCTCAAGATCCTCGGTCATACAGCCGGCCAAGATGGCGGACCGGATGATAGAGGCTCAGCGTCTCCGGTCGCTCTCTATCGTCCAGTTCTCCGCTTCCTCTGTCTCGACTGTGAATAATCAGAATAAGCAGATTTCAACCATGAAGAATGAAATGGCCTCCCTGAAACTGCAGTCCGCACGTCCTACCTCCTGTCAGTCGCAAAGCCGTCGCTGTTCGCGTTCGCGGCCTCGGACCGCTGATGCCTGCCAGTATCACACAACTTTTACCGCAAAAGCCCCTTGGTGTTCATAGTCCTGTTCCTTTAAAACTCATGCATGTTGATAAGGCCACGTCTGTGTGTATACAAAGTTTATAAAAGGGTGTGCAACTGTAAAGTCACAAACAACAAGACGACATATTCAAAAAAGCCGCGCAGTTATTAACGATTACATTTTAGACCACCTCAAGCTGCCTTATTTATAGTCGGTTACCCAGTGCAGTCCGACTATATCTATGTAAAAAGAAAAAAATTTAAACTGAAGACGATGAATTCACTTAAGGAAGATGCTTTTCATCAAAACAACTAAAGTACACGACACTTCCTTTCCGCCCTCAAAGAAAGCAACTCATGAGATGTTTATCGTTTCCTCAAGCCTCTTTCCATGCCGTTTGTCTCAGCACAATGTCCAAGTCGATCATTGTGATTATCGGTATTGTTTTTTTCCAAATCTCATGGATCGGTGAATGCAACATGCAAAGAATTGCGATTGTTTGTAGGCGAAGTTTTCTGTTTTTACTAGCGCCACACGAATAAAGGCAAAAGTCTGACGAGGTATTTAATAGCAGGCAAAATGGAGCATTGCGGTCAAGATATTATCGCCAAGTTACCAATTTTCAAAAATGATAACCTACAAAAACGGCATTGTTTGCATATGCGCCTCCCCGACATCTTGACTTTTGCCTTTTATTTTGTAAATTCCACAATGTGTGCTTGCCTTACCCTCTCTGCGTAGCGGATGTTTCAAAATGTTTGTGACAGACAAGTGTTGTTTTAGACCCAGTCCCCAGGAGCTTTTGCAAACACCCCACTATTATGCGGTTTTGTTTTTACTGAGAAAAACTCTAAAGCACAGCTATTCAGAGACGCTTTGATCAGGTATTTCTGATGAAACACCACTTGATCTTAAGTCAAGAGGATAGGGTCGGTGTGAATTGCACTTAGGAATCCGGATAACCGTAGTCAGAAGTTAAATGTGCAGCAATGTGCAAAAGCGCTTCTACGCAATTATCTATATTTGTGCATCACGTTGCCCGCCTGTCGCAAAAACGCGTGAAATGATTTATATCAGAAATCCTAGCATTACATCCCAACTTAATTTATACTCACTTTCTTTTTCTCTGGGTCAAGGAACGTATAACGTTGCCCATCGGAAAAAATAACGTTTGATGGCTGACGCCTCCGGAATAAGCAAGCAGAAGACAGGAGTTTTGTAAAAAGACGTTTAATCGAAGTAATTACCTTCGTTTGGCCGGAAGGCTGACGCTGCAGTTCACAACTTCACTCCTGGCGACTTAGTTGCAGCCTGACCATAGATGGAGCGGCTGGCACCTCGCGAACTGCTCATGTCCGACATAGGCAGTAGGAAATGCCAGCCCTGCTTAGACCAGTAGAAGAAGACAGCAAACAGATGAATTTGATTTGCAAGAGTCAAACGGCGTGGTATGCGCGTCTGCTCCGCCAGCCCTGTTACGGTTGCGTTAAAATAGCCAGCGCGGATAAAGTAAAGATAATCGACAGCTTAATGCCGAAGTTAGTCTGTCGTTCCGGCAAAGGGTTACTCTTGTTCCACATCCTGTACTGAAGAAGAGAAGGCTTAAGTGTAGCCAGAATCCAGTTTCCATTTCCTTCCTTCTGACGAAAAATGCGCATTGAGACTGGCACGGCTGGCTGACCGTCCTTAAAAGGTTCTTGCCCGATGAAATAGCCCAGTCGTACTCGAGACTGAGGACTAGGTTGTATTGGTTCCTTCCAAATGTGCGCTTTATGGCACTGGCATTTACCTGAGCTCCGAGCTCTCTTCAATGAAGCCTGTCACGTACAGAGTCGTGAGTGGGAGGCGCAGATGAATTGCTTAGATTCGTCATTCATTACGACCACACGCATCTTCGGCCGTTCGAGAGACGGTGGGCGAGAGAAGAGGGAGTGAGCTGGGTGCAGCACAAATCTGCCTAGTTATGACCGCCTTAACGCACTGGTTGTCACTGCCTCACGAAGTGAGTGCGGTGGTAAACCCCATCGCTTGCGACGGTTTGCAGAGTGAGGGAGCGAACTGAAGTCGCTGGTCGAGTCGAGGTTGGGCAATCACATGACAGTGGTCACATTCCCCGCTCATAAACTACCTAAAGTGACCAAAGTGATGAAGTGCGATAACCGAAATTCAGACAGTCGATCTTGATAAAATCAGACAGTGGGGATTTCCCATATGCTTCTTACGAAAAATTTCCTCCCAAGTTGTGTAACCAGGGAAAATGTCCAAAATTTTGGACGGTAATCATCGTTTCATTGTATCTAGGCCTCTTCCCAAATTCAATAATTTTCATAGATCGTACCGTTTATTTTCGCACGTTTCTCTAGTAAAGAACGCTAACCTGTGTAAATGAGAAAGGTTTGCCAAAAGTGGGCTTTCCCTCCATAGAAGTCGGATAAGACAAGATGCAAGTAAATGTATTATTTCCAGAAAAGTAGATGCTCATTCTTTAAGAATTAGCATTTGTATGTCTACGCAGTTCTTTGCAATAACACACAGTCTTGACGAAGAAGACTCGATCGCCGGGACAAGAGCTTTATTCGCCTGAAGTTTCGGATTCCTGCTCGAATCCATAATCAGAGACAAAAGCAGATAAGGGTGGCTGATGCATATGAGGCTGCAGTACTTATAGGATACAGTAGCCATGCTACCGCATACCTATGAATATTCACGGCTCCCCCTCCCCTTCATCAGGGATCGTTTAACGTGTCGTGATGGCCGACATTCGCGTAGTTAATTGCTGCAATTTCATCACGTGCGTTGGATGTCGGTGTGATGATTGCTCGACTATCTGACGCGCTGACCCGGGTGTTGGGAAGAGTGTTCACCTGTGCGCTCCCCGCGTAGCCAATTACTCCTCCTAGACGAAGTCTCAGCACGGAGTATTGAATGGGAAGATCATTGCACTTGTTAATATACTGGGGGTCAGTAAACCATGACTCAAGCAGCTCCCGGCTCACGCGGTTGTCACCTCTTGCGAGAATTTCGGCCTCGTCAAATTTGAATGTGTGGCCGGAACCCGTCGAATGAGCCGCAACTTGAGAGCTAGCGTCATTTCTCCGTACTGCTGCAGCGTGTTCGGCCATTCGCGTTTGGTGTTGTCTTCTAGTTTCTCCGACGTAGTTGCTTTGTCCGCAACTGCACCAGATCCGATAAACCACTCCAGACGTTTCTTGCCGTGGCAGTGGGTCTTTCAGTTTCATTAACTGACGCCTGATTCTATGGCCTCCCTAAGGTGCACAAAGACGGCGCTCCTCTCCGACCCATCGTGTCGCTCAAAGGGACTCCAATGTACGGACTGGCTAAGTGGCTCTTCCGGCGTCTCAAGTTCCTGACCGCTGAGTCAGATAACACGGTCTCTTCGTCGGCAGAATTCCTGGAGAAACTCAAAGGGGTAAGCCTCCATCCAAATGAGATCATGGTATCTTTTGATTTTACATCCCTTTTTACTTCTATTCCCCAGGACCTGGCGATCGAGACAATCGAGCTGCTTCTACATAGCAAATACGATGAAACGGAGAATCATCTTGGACGCGCCCAAATCCTTCAGCTCCCGAAGTTCTGTCTCAGGACGTACTTCACGTTCGACGGGACAATCTACGAACAGGTGAACGGCACACCAATGGGTTCGCCGATTTCGGGGTTCATAGCCGAAGCTGTCCTGTAACTGTTAGAGTCGCTGGTCTTCCAACACCACAAACCGAAGTTCTGGGCCCGGTATGTGGATGATACCTTCGTCGTCATCGAACGGGATCAGGTGTTGACATTCCAAGAACATCTCAACGCCGTCTTCCCAGACATTCAATTTACGATGGAGGAGGAAGAGAACAACCAGCTGGCTTTCCTGGATGTCCTCGTATGCCGCAAGGATTGTGGTGGACTAAAGACCAAAGTTTTCAGGAAAGCGACAAAGACGAATCAAGTACTGAACTTCAACAGCAACCACCCAATCAGCCACAAACGCAGTTGTGTAAGGACGCTCTATCAGCGTGTCGAAACGTACTGCAGTGAGCCGGGAGACAAGATTGCCGAACTAAAATACCTCCGATGGGTATTCAAAGCCAATGGTTATCCGCGCAACTTCGTCAACCGATGCATACGCAAGAGGGACGAAAGGCCTAACCGCACGGACGCCAAAGTTTGGCGAGCGCTTCCATATGTGGAGAACGTTTCGGAAGCTGTTGGTCGCCTTCTCGCACCACTTGGGGTTGGAGTTGCACACAGACCGGAGGCAACCATCAGGCGTCAGTTAATGAAACCGAGAGACGCACTGCCACGGTAAGAAACGTCTGGAGTCCTTTATCGGATCTAGCGCAGTTGCGGACAAAGAAACTACGTCGGAGAAACTGAAAGACATCTCCGAACGCGAATGGCCGAACACGCTGCAGCGGTGCGGAGAAATGACGCTAGATCTGAAGTTGCAGTTCATTCGATGGGCTCCGGCCGCACATTCAAATTTGACGTGCAATAATCTTCCCATTTAAGTATGTGGCGAAATGTCTTTCGCGGTTAAATTTAGACTGTTACGTAGGTCAGAAAAGGTATGCCCACACCGTCAGCCCTTTGCGAAATATACTTATATTTTTAGCTACCTATTAGCAGTTTTGTATCCGTAGAATTAGTCTTGTAGCCACGTCAAAACAAAAAATGGTTCTAAAACAGAGGAAATAAGGAGATATTCGTATGCAGCAAAAGTATTGCGAATATCAGTCGGATAGATTAATGAGCAGGTGGACCGTCTCAAGTTGACCATTGTTATGGCTTCGGAAAAGGTAAAGGACCCGGGCATTCATATATGAAATAGATAATCTAAATTCTTTAAAGAGTTAAAGTTTCAGAGAGGGTCTCAATTTCATCAGGGACATCGATGGGCACTGCCTATTTCTACAAGGCCAATTTACTACTTTGACGCCAAAGGCTTTTGGCTTTCCTGATTTTCTTCAAAATCTAGTTACCACCACTTAGCGTAACATTACTCGCCGTTTTCTATTGAGTTCGCCTTTTAGGGACTGGTTATTTTGAAATGGACGCCAGAGTCAATGCAAGTGGACCGGTTTCCGAATCGTTAGGGACATTTTAGGAATTTAGGCATGCCAGGTACCTCACTGTATCACTTGGAATCCGCCTTCCGGCGTACACTTGTGGCCAGAATTGAACTTGTATGGTAAGCTTATAAGTAATGTGACTACTTAGATAGGAATGACGGATACACAGTTACGAACTGGGTCGTGTGAGAGGCCGGTTGACGAGGAAACAGGCATTGTGCACCATCCGGCTCATGTGGAGGTAGATTAATCTAATCTCCGAAAGAATATCATTCTTCGTCTCCATAATGATTGCCGTTCACTCGGCAGTAAAACGAAGCGAAACCAACTAGTCCCTCTTTTATCTTGAGACTGTTATCGCTTTTAAACCGGAGAGCTGTTTGAAACTAGCTATACATTCTAGTTAACATAAGAAGGAACATATGCATGAGATCCGGTCGTCAGTATGTGGAATGGTGTGTTTATCCCTACCGGGCAGTTATTGCTTTACTGTTTTGTCCAACACACGCATGTCGATTTTAGCTGAAATGCGAACCACAATCCCTGTCGAAAAAACTTATATTCTTATTAAAAGGCAAAAGGGGGAAAATGATGAGATCGGATAACAAGAGTTTGTTCGGTTTGGCCGCATTTCGATCTCGGAAAGAGAAATACGACTCACGAGATTGGGCAAAAGCGATAAAGAAGTCTGAAATGCATGTGAAAAGTGTTATTTTGTCTGGATAAATGACCACCTTTTCCCAGCCACCACCCATAATATACCAACAATACGGCTTATTGGTGCAAAATCCTAGTAATTTACCGCCGAACAGACAAAGGCAATAACAACAACTTCCGACTACTTTGTCCAAAAGTGCACCAAAAGGAGGACTCTCTGGAGACTGATTGCTCAGTCTTCCCCGCAGGTTTACAAAAAACAAACGTCCAGGGACTGTCGCAAAAGGTTGTGCTGCTTTGACTTAGACAAGAGGGGAAAATTTCTTCCTTACCGAAGGTGGATGCGCATCTATTATGCCCTCGCTCTGAGACCGAGCGGACTGCGAAAACATAGGTTGTTTTTTAGACAGACGTCTGATGGTCCTAGAACCATTTCACTGTTTTGTTCAGTTACGAACTCAAACAAGGACGCATCAAAAGTTTTCAAAAATTAAAAAAAAGTTTATGCAGACTACAAACTTTATATTAAAATAAAACGATTGCGTCTTTGCCACGTCACTTTGTGTTAAAATGTCTGAAAAATGTTAGGCGCTGGTTTTCGGAAATGGATCAATTATTCCTTCTTGTTGAAAATAGCACTAACCCGCTTTAAAAAAAGCACGATTTCCTCTATTTTTGGATGACCTGTGGTTGACAGTATATTATGTTGTCGGTTCTGCCGAGTTGTTGTTAATTTGATGCTATTGCTTTTTTCACATACTTAGTTGTAACTTTCACGGAATTCGCTAAAACTATCCGGTTGTTAAAGGGCCACAGTCCACGAACGTTTTCCCTCGTGGCTAGAAATTTCGGAAATATTTTTGGTTGACGGCCCAACATGCTTAAACGTCAGTTCTAGAAGGGAAAATAGCATACAATTACAAGTAATAAAAGCACCTACTATATAATTTCGGGATACCTGCAGTATGTGGTTGACAATTATTTCAGAGGGCCGTAATCATTTGAGTAGTCCCAAAGAATTTGTAAAAATAAGAATCTGTCCACATCTACACAGCGACCCATGGGTTCGGATCAACATCGAAAACGGTAGAGTAAATCTCGGGACACCATCCGAATAAGCTAAAAACCAACATGCAAACTTTTGCCCACACAGCGTCACTAAAAATGCCAAAAAGCAAAGTATTTGATGCGATAATTTGTTTCACATAATGCAGCCCATGCGGGACACTTGAAAGTGTTCCCATGAGATTTAGAAATATCCTGTTTGTTTGTTGCAACGGAATCAGTACCCTTAGTTTCTCCTGAATTCAGCATAGGTAGGAATCCGTCTGAGTTTTACAGATCACCTGTGGTGTTTGACTCACTATCAAGAGAGTTAAAATATGAGATAAAGCAGGAACTTAGAAGGCAGTTTGCTAAATGAAAGTCACGCGTCAACTTTATCAGAGGCCTCTGGTAGAAGTCAGCTGGCCTGACTCGACGGACAATGCATGTCACAAGGGAAAGTGTTTACTTCCATCTTTAGTTAATTAAGTTGGTGTATTATCCCCGATCACATTCCAAGCACATTAATTTCATGCATGAATAAGTGTTTTGATTTGGAAGGACTTGGGTAGTTAAAGGGGCCTAAAAGTTTATATGGCGGCTTTTCTGTGAAGCAAATTAAAACATTTATCTCTGTTTTGATCTGTTACAGAGACGGCCGGGTGTTTTGGTCTTAGTCAGATATGGTGCACGTTCCCTGTAGCAGAATGAAAAAACACGGGACAATTGACTACTATATCAAGATTTCTTGTTTAACCCCGTAAACATAACTGAATGCAGATAGACCTTATCGTCGCCGCACCAACATTGCAGCATAAAGTTTTTACTTGTCATAGAAATGGGTCATCTGCTGTGGCCGCTGTGATGGGTTTTTCTGCAAAGATAACTTGTGGGATCAATTAAATTAGTTTTCATCCCCGGCCGGGGTTTGTGCTTTTATCATTTCTACATGGGTTTGGCCGATCTTTCTTGATCTCAACAACACACCTGAAGCCCCGCTTGTCTGCGTTGGTGAAGCCTATATTCAAAAGAATTGCCCTCTATCCCAGTATTTGCTTAACAGCGCCCTGCGAAATGCGAGTATGCGTTCCTCGAAGAAACCCCAAAGGTTGATGACCCATGCATAAAGTGAAGTGGCTGCCATACACATAAACTAGGAGAACCCCGGGGCGGCAATGAACATAGCGAAGACTTATTTTTCAACTTGAGGGCAATTTTTTTCTGCCTTTGTCAGTGACCTCGCGGCGTTCAGTAGAGGTTGAATTCTGCGGTTTGTACTTTCCTATTCAGAAGAGTCTACCTAGACAATCGTTTCTCTTCTTACCCCAAAACGTAAGAGATTTCAGGAACGTTCGTTTCTCATTTTTATCGTCTCGAAAGTCTCTTGGCACTCCTCTGACGAAAAGGAATAAGTGTTCTAGAAAAAGATGTAATTCAGACGTTTATTCAAACTAGGAAGCCCAGTAAGAGGACATTCAACCCACTTAGTGATCAATGTGAAAGGGAAATTGAGAAATGTTTAAATTAAAACGTTTTCTAAGTATTGTCCGGAAAATAACTGTCATGGAAGGCCAGAGAGAGGACCCAAGACAGACTAGTTGTCCTGCTAGGAATCTTGAATTTAAAGACTGTGTGTAGTATATTTGATCTGCAGCTGTTTCGTTCTGCGAATTTGACGGCTGTCCAAACCATTGAAAGTAAGCCCCAATCGCTTGGGGGGGGGGGAGGTTCTTTCCAAATAGATTCATCTGAGCCTCCCCCTGTATACTTACCTGGAAATAAACCCCTTTGCAGAAGTACGTTTTTTAGAACGGCCTACCAGAGAAAAGTGGGAGCATTTCATGTGTACCTCATGAATGTTCGCTTAGGCCTCATGCACTAAACTACTGTCCGCAAGCCTCATAAAAGCGTTGAATGCCAGCGAATTCCAAAAAATGTTATAAATATGACTTTTCAAAACCGAATTCGCTCCTCGCTTCTTGTAAGCAAAGTTGATTTCCTACCCGACCTCTTCAGCTTGTCTGCGATAAAAGTCGCAATTTTAGGAGACAGCCAATGTAAGCTTTGACCCCTCGTCTTAAGGTCTCCTCAGCGAGGCATCCATACAAACAGGTATCTCTGACCCGCGACACCCACCAGCTTATGAAAGTTTCCGCCTATACTGAAACGCGGATTTTTACTCGTAAATATCCTGGCCCTGCTTAGAGAACTTATCTTCAAAACATATTCTGTTCGAGTTAACTTCTCGCTGCGCATTACGCAAAGCTAATAAGTAAAATAAAGCGGCGCTCGGTGTGGATTTTACGAGTCATTTGGATTTCGGTCAATGCATCTCACGAGTTCGATCACCTACCGCATAGCTGCTGTTCAATGTCTACAGTGTGTATTTGGGTGAGTTTGGTCCTCATTGTGCTTATTATGGTCGTTCGAGAAATCCCTCCTTTGAGTAGGATTAACGACAATCTTTTCGTCTCAGTGAAAACACTGGAAGCTTCCAAAGGGCTTCAAACTACGTTACTGTTTTTTTGCTGTGTTAAAGACATTGTAACTAAATCGATATTAGAGCAACCGATTGGGTTAATTTGTCTTTATTTATAGCTTAAGCGCTCTCCAAATAAGACTTGTCATTAAACTTACTGTACGTAGGGTAATTTCAGATGGCAAATCCGGGTGGTAGAAACATTGAAGGTGACCATCTTCTTCAAACTAAGTGGGGCTGGGGCCTCCAGTGCCACAGG